CGTTGGAGCTCTTGCCCCCCCCTCCCTGTGAGCCTAGTGTGCTCCGATTGGTCAGCTCGGCCACTCGTTCTGATTAGTCAACCACCAGAGAGGCTGCGCCCATGTCAGTGCTTTTCCCGGCTGCTCTCAGCGTAACATCAGTCTTATCATGGCGTCGGTACAGCGGTATATTTTATATACATATATATTTTTAACTGTTGTTATAGAAGAGTGTGACGGCCTCAGGGCCTTTGTCTTACGGTGGGGTGGAGCTGAAGAGGGTAATCAGCACGATCACGGACACCTCCGTAGCCGGTGCTATTAATCCCAGCGGCCCGGAGTCTCTCTCCAAAGCGGCTGCAGAAGGACGAACTGAGCGACCCTCTCCCCTCGACCACCTGTCTCTGCATTTACCACAATAAATGTGCCGTGGTTTTGTAAACTCGTGTATGTCTCCTTGTCTTTCCGTTGTGGCCTACGAGCTACTCTCATAACAAAGAGTAAGTTATTTTTACCCGTTATAAACTACTACTGTTTGATGAGAAATCAAATCATGGTTTGCTATATATGAATTCAGGGAAGAAAGGATAGGCCTACTAAGTATTTCCATTAAACTTTATTTTTAGAAATGTACAAAATGAACATAAATATACATATATACACGGTATATCATCCATTCCTCCTCCTCGCATCTTGCCTGCGCACAGTCTGTGCGGTGCCTTTTAGCACCCTCAGTAGTAGTAGAATCCCTTCCCCGTCATGGATTGTCCGCCAGGATCTGGCTGGACGAAATCAAATGCAAATCACAAAATATTAGAGAAACTTAGTTGTTTTAGATTCGTTAGTAGTAGTAGTTGTGTAATGAACAGCTTGCCTGCTAATATGCTAACCTAGCTTTGTTTACCTTGGTAGCTAACACGATATGAACGTTAGCTTGGAGGAAAGGCAACTATAATGCAGTGTAATAAAACTACTATGAACAAAAGCTAGTGGTTCATATTAGGCTAGCAATAACGTGTTTATAATTGCAATCGTATACGGGTATTCTGCTACGTTCGGTCATACAATGTAACTTGCATGAATACATTGTTTTGCGCTAGCATACAGCTAGCCTCGTTAGCTACATGCAGTATATGTACGGTCACAATGTACGGTAAATCACAGTACAGTATACTGTATGAGTATTCCGTGTGTGTGACTGCAGACATTCTCCTGCCATGACAAACATGTAAGGCCATCTGCTGACATTGTAGTTGATATATTTAAACGCTAGCAACGTAGCATCACAAAAATGTTTTTCTGACCAAAACTAGCTCTAGCTCCGTGTGTTAGATCGCTACGCCAGCTATAATGTAATTACGTTTCGCGACTGACCGGCAAATCACCCGGAGTATACTGTCAATAGGTATTTTGTGTGTGAATGCAGACATTCTCCTGCTATGAGATACATGTATGCAAGGCCATCTGCTGATATTAGAGTTGATATATGGAAACTCTAGCAACTTAGTTAGCACAGTTAGCACTGTGTCAATGGCTTAGCAGTCCAACACAGTTTACACATTTAAACAGTCTTGTTTGATAAATACACAAATAACAATGCAAACTTACAGGTTGTATACCCAGATCTTCCCCTGCTCCAAACGGTCCAAACAAGCTGTGCATATCCGGCCTCAAACTGGGCAATGTTTTGGAAGCTTTCGTCTGTGAAATGCCGGTTCTTCGAACCTCTGGAGGAGGAACACGCCGCTGCTGGTGTGGCCATAGCTCTTCGGGATTGGTCCATTTCGTTCCGGGTACCGCATGACATCAGGCGGTACCCGGAACTAAATGGAAGACTCAAATGGGCAGTGACGTATCTCCAACGAGGCGTTTTGGGGAGGTATTTTCTGTGTTAGAGTTTTACTCGCTACAGGGTGTACTTTGAGGGTTTTGACTCTGCACACCGTTTACATGCATAAAAACCTTCATAACACACAAGGGGACGGGTAATAACCGGAAAAGCATGACATGGGAGCTTTAAGCTTGGCGGCAAGCTGGGCCTTTGTAATGGCCCCCACGCTGTGAGGGAAATCCTTCCCTGTGTCGGTCCTCGGATACTGCGCCTGAAATAAGTCGTCTATATCACTATACTTCAACTTGCAGGACTCCCAGTCAACATTGTCCTGTATTAGTGAAGTTTTGTACTCTAATGTGACCCGAAGTAGAAGTTCTACCTCATCATCAGTCCACGAAAAGACCTCCTTTCTTGCACAAATATCAGCCATCTTCCACCTTGTGTGTTTGTTTGTTTGTTTGTGCCTTACACATCTGGGGGGGATCTTATACTCGCTGCTTTTGGTGGAGGAAGTTACAGCGCCACGTACAGGTTCGGCATATGTACTGCAGCTTTTACAGCGTTTGGATGTAAACGGAGCCGTCTCGTGGAGCTTGACACAATCCGGTGTATATTGCGTGGGGAGGGAAGGTTTTTTGCGGTTGCATTTGCGTTACTCCGATGCGTTTTGCCGTTTTCGTCCCCGTGGAGCCGGGGCCTGAAACACAGAAGAGGATTAGGACCACATGTGGATTTACTTTTTGGATCTGACCAAAACTGATTTTTTCTTTTGAGTAATAAATCAGAGTTCTTACTTAAATCTCAGATCTATGAAGAAAGTTCTGAAGGTTGTCATGAAAATAAATAAAATATATTTTAAGAAAAATCTGATTTCTGAGATTTTCTTGAAAAAAAAAATAGAAAATCTGAAAAAAAGGTTTAATTTTTTTATCAGAATTCTGACTTTCACTAATAAAGAAAAAGTTGAGGTCTGACCAAAGTGATTTTTATCTGACTTTAAGTTTCACATGTTCCCACATGTTCCTAACCCTCTTCCATAGACGCTTCTTCCTCTCCATTCTTTGGTGTAAATAAATGCACTTGTGTTCACTTCCCCCCCGACTCTCTCAATGTTATTTGTTGTTGTGTGTGAGAGTGTGTCGGTAAAAGAAATGGCCTTGCATTGCCTCTTGTTTTATTATTTATTTTAGGCTGAAGACTTATCTGCAGAATTGGTCAAATACACTGGAAGTGAGTCAAAAGAGGAAGATGCTAAAGACGTGAAGAAGTGCTATTGGCCACTGGTGAAGTGTGTGACTGTCAGGGGGCCGAAGAAGGGTCTTCTCCAGCACGTCACACTTGTGGATCTTCCTGGAAACCGGGACCGTAACAAGACCAGAGACACAATGTGGAAAAAGATGATTTATCCACACGCAATGCTGATTATTGTGGAACACTGACAACGTAACCGTTATTATTTTCTGTATTCCCCTCCAGGTTGTTGGAAGTTGTTCTACTGTGTGGATTGTGGCTGAGATCAATCGAGCAGCTTCTGAAAAAGAATCCTGGGAGATCCTGGAAGAATCCTGCAGCCTCATGGGAAATGGTCGCGAGTGTCAGCAGATTCATTTGATCTGCACCAAGTCTGATAGTCTTGGAGGTTCAGATGATCAGTAAGTGGTTTAAGATGCAAAAGTACACAGTTAAATGTACCATCCAATTTAGACACTGATGGCCAAGAGGAGAAACCATGGAAACATTGATTACGTTTACAGGCACATTAGTATCCTGGTTTGGATGGTATTCAGGGATATAATGTTCACTTGAAACAGGATCAACCAGGGTATCCATGATCATAACAGTATCCGTGTTTCTAAAATGCCTGCATTGATTCCTCAACATCTCAGCCATTTATTTTTGTCCTAATGTTGTTGCTTCACAAACACTTAGTGATGCTGGATGAAGCTATGTGATCATTGGTCATTGAAAGCAAGATGGAGATGCGTAGTGATATCATATCCTGGAATATATATGCAGTTCATGTCATTCTTCAAATACAAATCTTTTCCTATAGGTCAGCAGCTGATGTTCGTGCTCTGATACTAAAACAAAACGAGCAAGCCAAGATAGACGTGAAGGCAGAATTCAGCAAACTAAAAGACGTTAAGGTGAGTTATATTGAATACAAAAACACAAATATTGTCCCAAACTGCAAACCTGCTTTGATATTGAAACTCTTTTGTTGTTGAAACAATTCAGTGAGGAATGTTTCAAAGTTTTCACAGTGAGCTCCAAAGAGTTGATGAAAAAGAAACGTCTGGATCCAGATGACACATGTGATTCAATTCTCCATCAGTGAGCCAGGAATGACTAAATGAAAATGCTTTGATCTCTTCTAATAAATATGTAGAGATACTAATTGAGTATAACATGTAAAGTCAAGAATGTAATTAAGTATGTTACATTTTTTACAGGAATTCCTGCAAGATCTCAACGACTGGCAGACATGGAACTATGTGTCTGGAGCTCTGGGGGTTCTCTCTCTGATTCAGGCAGCCAGCAGCAGAGAGAGAGGAACATCAAGTAACAACATCTTTCACTGTCTTTCATATTGACAGAAATAATAACATTCATAGAAAAGAAGTAAGCTGCATACACTAACATGTTGTGTACAAATGGTAAAGTCATAGAAAGACTGTTCACATGTGATGTTACCCGAGGAGCCAACAAGGTATTGGATGAGCTGAGTGTGTGTTGCTTCAGAGAGGATGCATTGCTACAGTTTACTCAAAGCTTTTGTACTTTTTGCTTGAAACACAAAGCCCCATATTGAATGATGGTTGTATTGCTTTAACTAATGAATGTGTTGTGTATGGTTTCAGGCTGACATAAAGACGGCTGTGTCCATAGGACTTGAAGAGAAGCTGAGTCATGAACTTGATCAAGTCAGGGAACCCATGGACCCTTATGGCTTTTGAAAGATGTCTCAGTGGGGGGGTTAAAACATCAAAGAGTTCATGTGAAGAAGTCTTAAAGTCGGTCCTTTATCCTGTAAGTATTTCAGTTGGAATTCAATCAAAACGACTCATTTAGCACAAAATATGGATCTGTCTCTTCCAACATTCTGTGTTGTTTCAGACAAAGAAAGGTGGTGCACTTCACAGGTCACTGAAGTGTGGAGTTGAGAATGGTGGCATCCACAAAGCAAGAGAAGGGGAATGAAGAAACATCAACATGAAGCTAACTTCATGTTTGACTGACAGCATTGAGGAGGAATTGAAGAAGACCTTCCCGTAAGAAATGACTTACTAAACACATCAAACCCTGTGTTGGATCAATTGTGTTTTACAATACATTGAAATACATTATTGAAATACAAATGTGTGAAGGCCTTCTGAATGTAAGCATTTCTTTGTGTTCATACGTTTTAGAAATGAAGGAGAAAGAGAACCATTCAACGGGGTCATCAATACATTTCCACTTGGCACAGAGGAGGAGATGAGGAAGAAGGAGTGCGGAAATGTCAAACTGCAGCTGACATTTCTCAAGAGGTCAAAGACCCTATTCATTAGTCCATGATCAAACATGTTTGTCCAGGCCAGGGAGACTGCAGTGGAAGGGTGATCAATAGAATACATATTGATCAGTCAGCATATTCATATACATTGTACTGGAATACAATATGAGCTGGAGATGGCTTTGAAGAATGACCTGCAGCTGTAAAGCGGACCCTGTCCCAGTTCATGAGGAAACTCTCAAGATGACAATAGAATATTCTGATATTGGGCAAAGTGCACCCCCTGCTGGTGAACACGTGCTATCACTTTGAATCATGTACTGCTTTTCCAGGTACAATCTGGAACAAAGAATCAAGGGAAAGATGAGCATAGTCTGTAACATGTTCTTTTTCAAAGATGTTGATATTTGCTTCACATTCTCTCTCTAAGGAAGAAAAGATGAAAACAAACCTCAAGAAACTCCTCCGTGAGCGTAAGAGAAGGATCTCCAGCAGCCTGACAACAACAATGGAGGAGACCATGAAAGAATGCTCTGACAGGAAGACAGAAGATCACTACAGACATAGAAATACACCTCTACACATTTTGATGTCAACATGTTTCCGTTTGATGTAGGAGCAAAAGAAATGAAAGGAGAAGGCACGCTGAAAAACATGAGGGGAACGATTGAAATGCACGTTCATGGTTCAAAAGACGTCATGTTTGATAAGGCTGAAGACGCCATGATGAAACAGCTGAGAGACCTGATGCTTTGTCACATTTGATATTTCCTCCTGCAGTCAAATGAAACTAGGAACACTGCAACACAAACATACATGTGCACACATGTCAGTGTTCAGTGATCAATATTTCAATGTTGATTTAGTGGGAGATCCCGGAGAAAGTGGAGAGCACGATGCAGGAATCAATCCAGCTGTCACTCAAAACAATTGGTGTCTCCATCCCAGGTGAAGGAGACACAACATCACAAACAATACTGTACATTTCATCCTCATTTAAAATACATTTCCATTAGTGTATTAAATGAATCCACTTGTTTGAAACAATATGTTTTGGGTTTTTAGATGTAAGTGCTGAGCTTGAGATGGTGAAGAACTTCTACAATGAACTGACCGAAGGCCCAGATGATGATGCAGTTCTTTGTTGTTTATTGGAAAGTTAATAACATACAAACTGAATATTCTCTCCACTGTGCCTTAAACTTGATTGAGACACTGCAGCAGACGTGTGAAGATTACTGGTGTTATTGTTTTAATATCTGCAAGTTTCAACAGAAAACTGCAATCCAACATTAAGCCAGTCTTTTTGTTTTCATCTTGCTGCTGCTCTGTCTCTTCAGACTCCAAAGCAGGTCCAGTTACATTTCAGCTAATTGCATTTGAGACTGTGGTGTACTACACTGTGGAACTTTCTCTTTTCACTGGGATTTATATGCATTATTGTCAATTAGCTGCTTTGGTTTGGGAGCTGTAGAAAAGGGGGCAATAGGAAGCTTATGAGAGTCACAGTACTGTATGTTCCTGTTGGGTTTTAAATGAGAGCTGTGTATGTTTTTGTATTGTAGAATCCATTTTGTTTTTCTGTTTTAATGACATTAAATATCTGCTTAATGTCAAGAAAAAGCATTTATTTGTAACCGAACATGGTGAATGATTACAGAACTGAAAATTAAAAAACGTTTCCAACACCTGTGAAAACACTCATCTCCTTACAACACTATTTAGCCCTTTTCAATGTTGGCTTTACATGGTTCCTAATGTATTGCTTTCAGTTTCATTCATTTTCCAGTCTGGGAACAGCAGAACTAAGTCTTTTGAAACACCACCTGTCTGCCAGCATGAGAGCCCCACCCCCGCCTCACTACTATCCCTCCCTTGGGCCAGAGTGAATACCACACCCTATTTGAGATCAGGCCGGGGTTAGGACTCTGTTCTTCTCACGTAAAGCACAAATCCAATCTTAAATAAGTCAATGTAAGATATGCAAATGGTACTCTTGAATCATCTGATGTTGAGAAATCATGTAGTGATTAATCTAGCATTTAACTAGATTGCCATGCCTGGTGTGTTCAGAGAACAGATATATACATGTTAAACACCACTGCCTCCAAGTGACTGAATTGAGCAATAGCATCTGTGTGAAAACATTTTTGATTGAACTGAGCAAGTGAATACATACAACCCATCTAGGCAGATAGGTCATGTTTAACAGTGTATTCATTGACGAGAGGAAAGCATAGGTTCAGGTTCAGTCAATGAACAACTTTATTTTCTTGACATTAATAAAACAGCATGGATCAGAGATCAATAAAGCTTTCTAATACTCCTCTCCTTCCTCATCCTCATCTCCCAGGCTATCAGCTCCAACCTCCTCGTAATCTTTCTCCAGAGCGGCCATGTCCTCCCTGGCCTCAGAGAACTCTCCCTCCTCCATACCCTCACCCACATACCAGTGCACAAAGGCACGCTTAGCGTACATCAGATCAAACTTGTGGTCCAGCCGAGCCCAGGCCTCTGCAATAGCAGTGGTGTTGCTCAGCATGCACACAGCCCTCTGGACCTTGGCCAGGTCTCCACCAGGAACTACAGTGGGCGGCTGGTAGTTGATGCCCACCTTGAAACCAGTGGGGCACCAGTCCACAAACTGGATGGAGCGCTTGGTTTTGATGGTGGCAATGGCAGCGTTCACGTCTTTGGGAACGACATCACCACGATACAAAAGGCAGCAGGCCATGTATTTACCGTGGCGTGGGTCGCATTTCACCAACTGATTGGCTGGCTCGAAGCAGGAATTAGTGATTTCTGCCACCGAGAGCTGCTCATGGTAAGCTTTCTCTGCAGAAATAACAGGGGCATAGGTGGCCAGAGGGAAGTGGATACGGGGGGTAGGGCACCAAGTTGGTCTGGAACTCTGTCAGATCAACATTGAGGGCACCATCAAAACGAAGGGAGGCAGTGATGGAGGACACAAGTTGACTCATCAACCTGTTCAGGTTTGTGTAAGAGGGACGCTCGATATCAAGGTTTCTACGGCAGATATCATAAATAGCCTCATTATCAACCATGAAGGCACAGTCAGAGTGCTCCAGGGTGGTGTGGGTGGTCAGGATGGCGTTGTAGGGCTCCACCACAGCGGTGGACACCTGGGGAGCTGGGTAGACGGAGAACTCCAGTTTGGACTTCTTGCCGTAGTCGACGGACCGACGCTCCATCAGCAGGGAGGTGAAACCAGAGCCGGTGCCCCCTCCGAAGCTGTGGAACACCAGGAAACCCTGAAGACCGGTGCACTGGTCAGACTGAAAGAAAAAGAGAAAATCATGAAATAATAATAATAAATGTATTTATATAATACAAAGACAGCAGTGCCAAGGGTTCACAGCTAATGATAAAAAAGCGTATTAGTGCACAGCATGTAAACATATAGATTCAATGAAAACAGATCAGAGATAAGAGGGTGCCATACCATGGAGGGCTTTGAATGCGATCAGGAGGATCTTAAACTGAATTCTGCAGGGTGGAGGAAGCCGATGCAAGTGGGCCAGAATCGGGGAAATATGCTCACTTTGAAAGAGTGATACCAGATTGTTATGTCTTGTGTTTGTCTAAAACACTGTACAGCTCTACATTTTAAAACATATACTTCACATATTTATTATTAGTTATGACACTTGGCTTTTGCAATACTTATTTTTGCCATTCACCACAATATGATTGCATACTCCTTGTATGTGAAAACCTACTTAGCAATAAACTGATTCATCTCCATTTAATACTCTTCAGCAAAATTGACTTCTGTTCTAAATGTACTGACCAGCTTTCGGATTCTGTCCATCACCAGGTCGATGACCTCCTTGCCGATGGTGTAGTGTCCTCGGGCGTAGTTGTTGGCAGCATCCTCCTTGCCAGTGATCAGCTGCTCAGGGTGGAACAGCTGGCGGTAAGTCCCTGTGCGCACCTCATCTAAGGGTAATGAGCATTAGATTATTGAAGGTTTTGAATGACAGAGGGGGGAAAAGGTTTATGATACTTTTATCATTTATAATGAATGAGAATGTACCGATGACAGTGGGCTCCAGGTCAACAAACACTGCTCTGGGGACGTGCTTTCCAGCTCCAGTCTCACTGAAGAAGGTGTTGTAGGAATCGTCCACTCCTCCTGAGATGTTCTGGTCACCAGGCTTCCTGCCGTCCGGCTGGCTCCCATGTTCCAGGCAGTAAAGCTCCCAGCAGGCATTGCCAATCTGCACACCAGCCTGACCAACGTGGATTGAGAGGCACTCGCGCTGTAAAAGGGAAAAAAGGTTGTTAAGAAACTATCATAAAAGGAAGCCTAGTGGCTGATTCTTGTGCAAAAACATGTGTGTAACATACATTCTAGTGGCATATCATCACATGTGGGAGGACTGCTCTATTACTATTTTAATAAGAACCAAACATCATATCATGATTTAAGTCACCTGACGCACACATTTGTCATCTGAACAGAAAGACAGTTATAATTCAAAACAAAAAGAGGCTAAATACTGTTTATACGTCAAATACCAAAAGCACAATGACGCAGTTGTTGGCAGACAGGTGGCATGATTGGACGTGAATGTGGGCCAGTGTTAAGAGAGGAGACGCATTTACATTTTCTGCAACTGTCTCACACGGATTGCGCCACTGCCACACCCCTTTAGGAGACTAGTGGCGTGGCAGGCCAGAACGTAAACACACATAATAATCATCTAATTCGACCTAAATAAAGTAAAAATTGGAACCATGTCTCTCATCTCTCTAATGTGAAGACATTAGAGAAAACACGTCGGTTTGCTATCCTGGCTCCAAAATGGTGGAATGAGCTCCCCATTGACATCAGGCCAGCAGAAAGCTTACACATCTTCCGGCGCAGACTGAAAACTCATCTCTTTCGACTCCACTTTGAGCAATAACATTACTAACAAAGCACTTACTAACAAAGGACTGGCTTATCTAAAGCCAGTTGAGTAGCACTTGAAATGTGTTGGCTCTATGAAACCTGATGTACTTATATGATTCTGTTTTCTTCAAGTTTGTATCTTCTTGGTCGAATGCACTTATTGTAAGTCGCTTTGGATAAAAGCGTCAGCTAAATGCAATGTAATGTAAAGACACTAAACCGAGGTAGACACAAATCCGTCGCAGGAAAAAGAACTCTCGCGAGATTTGGGTAGACAGAGCGTTCATTTTATTTAAATGTCGGCAGCGAGTAATCATTTCAGACAGTACGTTGGAAAAACGCCCTGGTTCACTGAAATTCTGAAAAAATGTTTTATCTGTGTTAATATCATGTTTTAAATATGAAACCATTAAACCTGGCCACTAATGAGACAGGAAGTATATGTATTTCCAACAATTCGCGCCGATTGTAAATGCTTCACTTCAACATCTTGACTGTGCCGTCGAGTTACACTTAATTTACCAACACCACAGTTAAAACGACTTATTAATGACGAAGCTTGATTTACCAGCTTACACCGCAACATTTTTGTTTCACTATAAAAATGATGCGTCGTCTTTAAAGAGTAAGCGGTTAAAAAACGTTAAGCTGGTTACGTTTTCACATGATGACAGACGTT